TCTCTATCTCCCTCTATTTTATCGGGAGGCATATAGGAGGTAATTACAGTGAAAATGACAAACTCCCAACAATACCACAATGACAGGTTTTTAGAACAGCCATTATTATCATTTCTATGTCTTTTATGCTCCTTGAATTGAGTTTCTGCTGGAAGGTCGTAATACTTATAATACGCACCTTTAGAAAATAAATACATAAGAATTTTTTTTAAATTGTCACATTTGAAAAAGCACACATTGTCACCAAGGTAAAGGGTCAATCTGCCTCACAAAGAACATTCAACACAAACAGATTCATTATAGCATTAAATTGATGCATCCATCTATTTTTCCCCACACACGCAATGCAGTCCAACAAAGGTCAGACAGGCACTTGGGAAATCATCTGAACCTTCATTAACTGAGACTGTCTACTTTGTTATCCTCACTCAAGTTCATAGCAAACTATTCAAATGAGCGGCCTTTTAACCACTTATAGACAGCCCTCTGAGCAGCTCACTGCTGATGTTGCTCACGTTTTCAGCAATTAGGGACAAGCAGAGACTGGATTTTGGTCAGAGAAATAGAGAGAGCTCTCTTTGAGCCTCTTCACAAGAAATTAAAAATATCAAAGTACTGCAGCTTCATATCATAGAAGACATCTGCACTGGGAGAGTGGCATCGGTTTGTTTGTGTGCCGTTTTGTTCTTTTGAGCATGCTCTAATGTAACAGGGAGCCTCTTCTTACTGCCAACAACATTTGGTAAACATTTTTTGGGTCTGTTAAACCCTTTGATGGTCCTCCTTTCATTCATTCAGGCTCATTTAGTTCTTCAGCAGTTAACTTTTTCAAATTTTCCATTCATTCCCCTAACCCCTCGCCACCCCGTCCCCATTCCCCTCACCCCCACATTACCACCCCCACCCCCAACCCCCACCCCTACTCGGTGCAACCTGAGTAGATGGCATAGCATACATGGTCCACTCAGCAATTATTCACAGTGCCTTGGTCTAATGGCAGTCTCACTCCACTGACAGGGCAGAATGTGGCTGGCGTCAGTGGAGCAGCAGTAATGGCCCTGTGGAGTGAGAGTGAGAGAGAGGCTGTTCCGAGCATCATCTCCAACAGATACACAACGAGGACAAACATGTCTAATGATGAAGCTAGACCAGCTGTGGAACCCCTCTCTCTCACCCTCTCTCTCTCTCTCTCTCTCATCACCCCCTCCTCCTCCCTCCCTCCTAGGCCAGGCTCCATGTCAGGCCGATGAAAACATAACCTGTCACATTCCATCCCATTAAACCAGCTCTGAACCATGTGCTCCACTCCCAGGGAGAGAGAGCAGGGCCCCGCTGCAGCCAAGTATGTTTGTGTGTTCTCACATGGGTGCATGAATTATTCATGGAGCTTTATGCAAATGAAATTTAAACCAGGAAAAAAAAAAAATCCCAGCGATATACATACAAATAGATAAACCTATTAATGTGCGGGTTCGTATGCGTGTATACATACTGTGCGCATACACACGCAGTCAAATTCTCTTCTCCCCTGGATTGTCCATCAATCCGCGTCGCCTGCCTGCCACTATTAACATGCATTAGAGTGCTCTCATCAAGACCCAGTCTCTACCTCTCCCTCTCTTTTTAGTGGGGCTCATCAGTGGCTATTTGCAGTAATGCAATGAAATGAATGTGCACTCAGTCATTAGGCTTGGTTAGTGCAGGGATTTAACACAAATTAAGTGAAGTATATGCATAAAAGGCTCTTTAACGAAAACCCATGCAGAAACAGATGCTTTTCCAGGTTTAAACACTATCATTAGTCATGTGGGCAGGAACTCCTGTATTTATCCTTGACCTTGAGACACCCTGCCCACTGAGAAGGCTAAACCGGGACTAGGGGGTGGGGTTGGGGGCTATTTTAAAGTGGAATAACATTTGTGGGGAGAACGCATGTGGGAGGCGCATCGATAGCTCTGTGGATTTGGGGGGCTCTTGTTCTGCATGTGAGATGGCAGAGGTCTGTGCGCCCCCGAGGGTCGTTCCCGCGTTCTGCTGCAAGGTACAGCCCCGATCCATGAGGGTTCCTCCGCACCGTGACCTCCTTATTGTCCCCGAGCTCACCGGCAGTGACACTCCGTATGGAAATACGCTCCGTTAAAATGGCGTTTTGTATAGTTGGCTGTGCTGGCTTTGGATGCGAGCTACAGTATGTTCCCATACAGTAAGACCCCCGGTCTTCTGAATAATTTAAAGGATGAAAAAAGGTTTAGAAGGCAAGCCTGTGCTGGATGTTTGTTTTCTGAAAGTGAGAAGTAGAGCACTGTAGACACCTAGTGGTCAGAGTCTGTAACTGCAGACAGACATGACCTTTTCACTGGTACTTGGGATGAGGGAACAAAAGACAGATAAGGTTTGTAGAGGACAGTCACTGTACCGGTTTCACTGTCTGATTGATAAATGAATATATTTATAATTACAGTCTAACTGCAAAGGCAGCACAAGTGGCATCCTGTTAATATCAAGTGTTGGTAGTGTTAAAGTGACAGTGACATGATTCTGTTCATGCAACACATTGAGATTGCACAGTTCTAGACCATGCATCTGTATCTAGTTGTAGTCTTCAAAGTCATCTACAAAAACCACTCTTTTGGACAAAATCTGCAAAACTGAAATGACTGGATCTAGTTTCTAGTTACGCTTAATTGCCCTTATGCCATGAAAAATCTGACGGCCTTTCAGCAACTGCACAAGTGTTTGTCGCTGACAGATCACTGCATTATATTTGGAATACATTCAAGATTACAGCTCCATCTGAGCGATAACAGATTATCATCTTTAGAGAGGTGTGGTAAAGCAGGATTATCCCTTGCTGGGCATCCATTTGACCCAATGACACAACCTACTTGCATGCCCAGCATCTGTGGCTGTTTTTAATGGGGATTTCACTTCCACCACACTATTAAATTATGATATTGCTAAGTGAGAATGTGCGAAGGGAATCAAAGGACTTGTCAACTCCGAGCTCAGATTCTGATCGTCTGGCTACTGATGGTAGGATGTGCTGTTGAAGTTATTCTGCATTTCTCTACATGGGGTAAAGCTCTAACTTGTAGTCACCCTGGCTGAAAAAGTCACTGAAAGAAACCATCAAAACACTCACCGTCACTTGAACCTTTCTTTACAACATCTTTACAACAAAAATATTTGTATGGTTCAAAAATAATGACCGTTTAATCCTTCCTTTGTTTCATCTTTAAAATATACATTTGTAAATGACTAAAACTCAATGTAATATTTAATATCCCTATACTAGCACTCCCCTGCTGTTTTATGTAAAAGTGAAGAGACAGAGTGGACACTCAGATCGGTCACACACAGCCTCTCTGTGTGAGCTTGTCCCTCCGGTATCAACCCTGTGGTTAAGATGCTACATGGGTGGCGGTTTGGGAGCGCTGTGACTCTGGTACCTGTGATCACAGAGGAAGAGGAAAAAGAGTGAGTGAGAGCACCCTCCACAGCTCCATCTCAGCTGTGGTTCACTGCATACTGCAGGTGCACTGTGGAAAACACTGACATGACATACTGACCTGGACCGCTTCACATACAGGTCTTGGGTTGGATGAAACCAAAACTTAGTTCCAAATGCTAATACAGTAGTAATAAGCCACAAGAAATACAAGTTTAAAGTTGTTGTGTTACCATTTTGTATCAACTAAAACAATGTAAACACTTTTAGCAGCAGGTCTTTATTTGGTTCTGTCCAGCCATTGTCTGTAAAGGATTAAATAACCCTTGCTGGCTCAACTGACTAAATAACTATCAACTATCAACTATCTAAATAAATGTACGCAACAGTGAAATATGTATCTTGACATTCCAAAAAGCGATACACATCTTACTCATTTAATCGGTCAAAGAAGATCCAAACCTCTACAGATGATGGTCACATTTTTTGGTGCCCATGCTTGTTGTCCTAAAAGTGACTGATTGCACTGATAAGCCTTGTGCATGCAGAACACATACTGTACAAGCTATTAGGGTATGACCCACCTGCCATCCTGATCCGGTTGGCTGGGGTAAGGAATGAGCACCCTGTGTCCGTTGGGCAGCAGGCATGTGGTTGGCAAGGGCGCCCCTCCCCTAAGATGCCGGAGGTTCAGGTCAGCCTGGGAGGTCCGGCAACTGGGAGGCATTAACCCACCGTAGGGCTTCTGTTTCCTGTCTGTGATGGAGAACAGTTACAGCCATGAACCTGGACAGCCAGTGCTTGTCAACACGTTTCACGCCATTTACACCATGTGATAATAAAGCAATCGGTTTATTTTTCATCTCTAGTGTCCGAATATAAGCTAATAAAAATGACCTTGAAAAGTAATGTGAAATGTCCACACCCCCCGAAAGAACCAGCATTCTAAACATTCTGTGGATGCATGACATCACACTGGACATTTCATTGACATCTGATACTCTTATCAGGCTTAGACTCTCACCGTGTTAAAATAAATTTTTAAAATTTTCTTTACCAATTAACTTGGATGAAACTGATAACAACTTAACTCTTTGTTGCCTCTCACCCGCGATGTGGGTGAGAAACAGAGCGTGTGTGGGCGAGGGCAGATACTGACATTTGGGCGCGTCATACAACGGCATGTCATCCAGGTTGCTGGGAAGCTGGGTCTCGGGACTCAGGAAGTAATGCGCGCCCCCGTTGACGGCGGTGCCGCGCAGGGGCACGCCGCGGGGCATGGGCAAGGGCAGCAGGCACGGCACGTTCGTCTCCAGGGCGCTGCTGGCGGGCACAGAACACTGCGCCGCAAACACAGGGGACTGGCCGTGAACACATTTACATTACATTATTGGCATTTAGCAGATGCTCTTATCCAGAGTGACTTACATCAGTTACAGTTTTTTTTACAATTTATACAGCTGGATATTTACTGGGTTAAGTACCTTGGTCACGACTCCCGCTCCTTAACTACTATGCTACACTGCCGCCGAGTCAAAAGAAGCTTTGTCTTTCCTTCGAACCAGATTTAAACCAGCAACCTAAGGATGAGTTTGTAGGCCTCTACAGTCCTCCACTACCAACTGAGCTATCAAAGGGTAGCTTAGAACACCAATGCTAACGTCCTCAGTCTGTACCAGAAAACTTTGCATTACACCAACTCTATACCTCAGAAGACTATACCTCATGGAGTTCAGCCCCTGATGCATCTGTTTTCACTGAGGGCATACACAGCAATCTAGTTCTGTGTAAATGTTTTTATATCTGGCCCAGTGACAGAAATAGTTCTGGAGCTTTCATAAGTTTCACTCCTGTTTCAGAATCTGCCTAGCCTCAAGACCTTTCTGTGATGATGGAGTCAATAGACAGATTTCTTTGGAAGTAACTGGAGCAGAAGAAAGACCTTGACATTTTGAATATCTGAGGCCAGCAGCCAGCTGTACAAAAAGGAACATCCCTTCTACCATTTCTAGCAACTGAGACTCACACTGACTCCTTTCCTGGTGGCTTTAAAACACAGCAACAGCTCAAAACTTTAAAGGGAGGGAAAGGGGACTGTATTTTCAAATTGAATTTGTGACATTTAATTGAATTCACAACAAGGTGATGACAATTACTACCACAGTTTTTGTGCTTTTTTCCCTTTGTGTGACTATTTCGAAATCAGCAGGCATGCATTAGGCTTGTTTCACTGCAACAACCTCTACAGTCACAATGATGCAAGACAAATACAATCCTCCAATACACTCACACACAGCCAATAGCTGTAACAGCACTCACACAACCTGTCCCACAGTGCACCACAGAGAAGTGGTTGACAATTGGAGGATAGGGGCCACTCGACTAACGTCATCTGAGTAACCTGCGGGTGCTTGACATCTTGCAGGGTGCATTAGAATGGTGAACACAGCAATCCGTGGCATGACTAGACAAATTTGTTCTGCCTCTGGTAGGCTCTTGGGCACTGTCCGTCGATGACACAGCTGGGATCAAACTCAAGCCAAAGAGCTTGGCCTTCACTTGTAACAAGCACCTTGTCAGTTGAGCGACTCAGGAGCCCCACTGCCAGTGTTATTCTGTGGGCAGCACGCTACGTCCCTGCTCAAACTCTGACCACACAGGACCTCTGTTGCATCCACACCTTTACAGCCCCTTGGAATTTTCCTCAACATGCAACAAAATATTCACAAACTCTTCTGACACCTAACACAGATGATTTGAAACCAAACCAAAGCAAAGCTGGGGGATTGCTGGGTGAGGGGCAGGACCTTGTCTGGGACAGAAAGGGCAGAAAGATCTGCGTTTTTACATATATTTACATACTGCTGTCTTGTTTCAGACCTTAGGTCAAACTCATTGGGTCAAAAAGTGATAAATGGATGCATCTGAGTAGCTCAGCTGGCTAAGGCTCTGTGCAGACTAGATCCCACATCTTAGATCCAGCACTGAGCTGTGTCATATTCCATCAATGACAGCACTCCACAGAATGGAACACTACTGTGGGCTGTAAGGGGGGGATTCATTGGCAAAAGTGAGCTTTCCATTAAGTTTATAACTTTACTGTTCACCAGGAAGTGGCATGCAACAGTAGCAAGAGTCAAACTGTTATACATGACACAGTTAAAGAGGGAACATTTCATACCAGATTGTCTTATTAAAAGTAGTGATGCCCTCCATAACACTTTTATAGAACTTCTATTGGCTGACGCCAAACCAGTTCAGCTTCTCGATAAAAACAGACAGTGGCTAGCTTTTCAAAAAATACAGTCTGTGTTCTCTATGAACAGGAACAGTGGCCCCTGAGACTTCTCACCTGACTGTCTGTGTAAGTCAGCTCCGCTCTGGTCCTCTCCTCCAGAGAGACCGTCATGCCATCCAGCACCTGAAGCCTGGACAGACGCAGCACCACCGACTGCCGATGCTGGGAGCGGCGGGACACCTAGGAAACAGTGACTGTCAATGCCAATACACAGCCCCCCGCATGCTGCCGCACAGGCACTCCTAACACCACCAGACTCCACAGAACACCGCCCACTGTCAGCAAATGCGGTTGCTCTTCACTTCTGCTTCATCATGCACTCTTATTCTGTGTGATCATACACGTAAGGACATATTTTATTTTTATCTCTTGATGGCAGCATTGTGGCCTCAGTGGTGTTGTCCCTGCATCTGTTTGCTTGTGCCTGCAGCCATCTGTGATCCAGTCTCCATCTGGAATTCGGTTGGGCTTTCTCTTCATAGCCTGATACAATCCATTCGACCAATGAGAAATACTACATAAAATCATCCCAACTGCTTCAGGGGCAATACCAAGACTCTGACCTTGGACCGTCTGTTTATGTAAGTTAAACCGTAACTGAAATCACAAATGAAGTCAGGCTATTATGATGACTGGTACTGTCAGCTCTTTTTCCAACCTCACTCTCCCAGTCTTGGTGGGAAAGCTGCCCCAGGTACCTCTTGCTGGGAAGAGATTCCAGCCTGTTCATATATGGAACAGCACAGTATCCAAGAAATAACACAGAGATATATGTTCGCAGCTGAGAGCATGACGGGAGGCTCTTGCTTGCTTTCTATGATCCACCCAGGGACGGCTTTGACATGGGTCATCTGTCTTTTTGCAGATTTTCAGTTCTCAGGCTACAACAGAGATGCTCTGCAGCCCAGCTGACATGGCCGCTGCTGGCGGATTGGAGATGGACTGCTCCCCCCCCCACCCCCGTCCCCATCCTGGCCCACAGACAGGGCCTGCCACTGCGAACTGAGCCTCTCTGCCTCTGCAGGGCATGCTGGGAGGGGGGATGGGAGGGGGATTCGCAGCCCTGAGCCCTGGCACAGTTATCTCATACAGTTGGCGGCAGGGGATTTTGTCTCAGGGGGCCCCCCTGGCCCCTGCCCATGCCAGATTAGGTCCCTGTGGGAAAGGGAACGAGTGTGCCCTGGGCCGGCCCAGCTGACAGCACCCCTCGCGCGGCCCCCTTCGTGGGGGGACTTCTGTCGCTCCGCAGTGTGCCACTGCGATGATCCCGGCCCCCAGATGGGCAGCTGAGCCCGGGCCAATAGTGTCTGTTAACCGTCCTGCCATTTGGACAGTGGATTTGTGTTTGATCCCAGCCAGTTTGAGGCACACCAGACAGACCATCATGTAATCACTTAATTTAGAACTGAAATGTTGCAATGTGGAGTGTGTGAGTTTCATCACAGGGGCAACATAACTGCTGCCTCAGGTCTTACGAGCTGAAGAGGATCTCACTCTGCATGTGCACAGGACACAGAGAGGTACATCTCAGATTCCAATTCAAGCTCTGGGCTCCAGAGTTTAAGTCACCTCTGATGTACAATTCTATTGATGAAGTCCAGGTATTCCCATATTGTGCCATTCAATATCTTGGTTTGCATTTCTACCCTTTTTCCTAAGTATAGCTGCCAGTGGACTGCTAAATGTTTCATAAAGAAAAACATGGGACAGTATAATGTAGGTAGATACTGTCCTAGCATTGACAGTAGCTATGTTGGTGAAAAAGATAGATATGGTTTAACTTTGTTGACTAGAGGACAGAGAAGAAGAAGAAGGAAGACAGTGGCTAGCTCATTTGAAAATAAATTTCCAGATATGAAATTAAAGACATATAAGACACAATGTTTGTCTTAAACAACTATTTAAAACAGAACAGATTTATTCTGATTAATATCAGGCTACAAAGATGGAGAGTAAACCAGCAAACTTCAGCTACAGTCAAGACCAGGTCTGAAACTGTCTAAGGGTTTGTATTCGCTAAGACACACATGAGATATGCTGACACTTTTTTCTTAGGGTAACGTCCAATGGACACAAGAGGTCCACACAAAGTGCAAGCTCTAAGGTCTGTCACTGTAAGTGCTTGTGCAATGTGGGTTCAGAGAAATACTCACCGGGTTCCCCACGACAGACAGCTCGACGAGAGAGGGAAGGGACTCCAGTTTGTCAATCTCAGAGATGTCCTGCAGAACGACACACAGACAGACAATGGAGACAGGGCCCCACCGCAACTCTCACACCACTAGCTCTCTCCCAATTTCACCTGGACTCCGATTAGGCCTAGAATCCGCCATAATCACCACATACATTCAGCTCGTTCGAGGCAGAGATTACATGTGTGATCTCTCGTTAATCTGCTGCGAGGGTGTGCGCACGCAAAGAGCGGTCCCGTTTTCTCCCCTGCCGTGCTGGGATGAGGGCTGATTCACACACCCAGCTCTGACAAGCGATGCGCAGAGGTGATTACAGGGATCTGCCTTTTAATTAAATGCAGGAAAAATAACCGCAGAGTGCAAATCACCACATGATGTGAGGCATGAACTGCAATCTGACTGCGTGTCCCTTGATTTTCCTTTCTCTCCTCCTTTTGCACCACGACCTTCAATCAACATTGATTTTCCTTGAACACCGAGGGAGTGAATCACGCCTCTGTGACAGAATGTTACACCATGGTAACTACCCACTGGCATATTATCTCACTAAGGTGTGCCAAGATCCACACAATAAACCTAAAAACGTTAGCTCAAAATGCACTTTTAGCAGCCAAGCTACCAGCATGATATAACTCTTCTGCGTTCACCTGAACACCTGAAACACTACCACCTAAAGCAATTTCTCATGCCCTTACATCTTAATCTTTGTTTTCCTTAAAAGATTTCGACTATGGTTTCATGCACTCATATCTCTACCAGCTAGCTTGTACCTTGTCTGGCCAACTATTGAAACTTGGTCATGCAGCCCTTCTAATATTGTTGACTCTGCCTTTTTGCTTGTGTTGTGCTCTGCCTCACTTGTAAGTCACTTAGGATAAACGTGTCCGCCAAATGAATAAATGTAAATGTAAATGGTACAGGAAAAAGTTCTCATGATGAATGTGTACAGCTACAGGTTGCCACATCGCACAGCACACGGTCAGGGCAGCGACTGCGCACGGCCGTACCTGCAGCTTGTTCATGTCGAGGAAGAGCCTCCGCAGCTCCGGGAGCGGCTGCAGGTAGTTGAGCTCGCGCAGGCGGTTCTCGGCCAGGTGCAGCTCCAGCAGGACGGTCTGGCTGAGGAAGGAGGTCTCCCCCAGGGCCC